GAGGCAAACAACTGGAAGATGGTCGAACATTAAGTGATTATAATATTCAAAAAGAAAGCACTCTTCACCTTGTACTTCGCTTACGTGGTGGTATGCAAATATTCGTGAAAACTCTCACCGGTAAAACAATTACACTCGAAGTCGAACCAAGTGACACAATCGATAATGTTAAAGCTAAAATCCAAGATAAAGAAGGTATTCCACCTGATCAACAACGACTTATCTTTGCTGGTAAACAACTGGAAGATGGTCGCACATTGAGCGATTATAATATTCAAAAAGAAAGCACTCTTCACCTTGTACTTCGCTTACGTGGTGGTATGCAAATATTTGTAAAAACTCTCACTGGCAAAACTATAACACTTGAAGTCGAGCCAAGTGACACTATCGATAATGTGAAAGCTAAAATCCAAGATAAAGAAGGTATTCCACCTGATCAACAACGCCTCATCTTTGCTGGTAAACAACTTGAAGATGGTCGCACGTTAAGTGATTATAACATTCAAAAGGAAAGTACTCTCCACTTAGTTCTTCGATTACGCGGTGGTGATGATAAATAAATAATGTTTTTTTGGGTATCCAGGTCATTAGGTTGTTTTGAATCCTTTTATTTTGAATATTCATTTAGTTCATTAATTTGATTTCTTTTTGTTCAATAAAAAAATGTACCGAATGCTGTTATATGAATCTTGACTTTATCTATGAATGAAAAAGGAAAAGTTTATTAGTAAACTTGTTAGATATTAAGTTGCTGCTTGATAACAAAAATGGTCTACTAGTTTTATTCTTATGAATTGTTGAAAAGTATGGTCAAATTTGCAAAAAGAGTAAATTTTTAAATTGATGAAAATTTCGGATATAGCGAACGATCTATGACAGAAAGAGACACATTAGAAAACCTTCTAAAACACTAATAAGAAATTTTGGAGTGAATTATGAAATTATCCAAGCACTGCCAAGTTATTTCTATCTGCTTCCATCTGAAAGAGAAGATCGTATTGTCTAAAATATTAGTAATTACTAGGAAATTTTAGTAAATATAGGAATTACGAAGTATTTTTCGTATGCACATGCCGATGTTCTTTATTATTGAGAAGAAGATACTGCTTTTTTCAAGCGTAGGTGATTTATTTATCGAAAATATCTAAATGGTAATATCTGTATCTAATGAAGGTTACTGGCAGTTTTACAGTAATTACTGAAATTCAGTTTAAACTTTGCTTGAAATTTTTGTTATTGAGAATTGTTTATGATCGAAATTATCTCTAAGTTGTTCAATGATACATGAGGAGCTTCAGAATTTTCCTGGAAATTTTCTTGTGATGTAAAGCAAACACCGAAAGCATGGGAGTGCATAAGAACCAGTTTTGACCCACTTTATTTACTAGACTTTGTAGCACTTGCGCTGGCTACTCTTATCATATGTAAATTTTGTCATGACATCTTAAATTAGAAGCACCCATACTCATTACAAGTTTGCCTATCGTCATAAGATTTCTTCTTGTTGTGAATTAAGAAGCCAGATGTTTCTTCTCAGATGTAGTCACAAGCCAATGGAATCATTCATAGCGTGATGAATAGAGCATGATTTAAGCTGCATTTTGGTACCAAAAAATAAAATAAATGATATTTCATTGAGCTGAGAATGGACGAAGAAGAACTTTTGACCAGTTCTGATAGATGGTTTTGTGGTCAATAGTCGATTTTGGGAGCCTGATATCTCAGAAAATAAAAATGAACAGATTGTTAGTGTTGATCTATATGTATTTCAAATTGTTCGAACAACTTATATTTTCGTGAAAAAAAATAATCTCTGATCCTCCTCAGGGTTCAGTAGAAATATGAAATCAAATCAAAATCTCAAATGGCGTTACGATTGACTTGGTTTTTTGGCGGAACCTTGACGGAGACTACCGATTTAGTTTTTCGACGAAAGAAAAAGTTGTTGAGACCATTTAAAATGCATATTGATCAACTCTAGCGATATATTTATTGTTATTTTCTGAGATATCAGGCTCTCATGATCGATTAGTGACCGTAAATTCGTCGATTAGGACTGCTAAAACATTCTTGCTCGTCTATTCTCGGCTCAATCAAAGATCATTTATTTCATGTTGTCATACTAAAATGCAGCTCAATTGATGCTCTATTAATAACACTGAAAGTGATCTCATTGTGTTTCTTAGCTTACAACACGAAGAATTCTAATAATGATGATGAAGCTTGTACGCAACATAAGTACACTTAAGTTAAGGTTTCATAACAACATTTATATATGGTTACAGTCGTCAACTCAAGCGCTACAAAACCTTGTCATTTTTATAGTCCTCTTTTTATAAAGTTAGTTCTACTATCTTGATCACTTGAGGAAATCTGAGTCTTCTCCAGTCCTTGGTTTCAAATTTTTTAACGAAACTTATGGTCAATTGCGAACTTTCTTGCTGATATGATTTTTTTCGTGGAAGCAGTGTCTGAAATTTGAACACTGCTCTTAAATCGATAAATAGATTTGTTTCAGGCACTCTTATATCTTAAAGCCTTTTGAGATCGATAATTTTATACGAAAATTAAAATAACTTTTTCGCCGAAAACAAGTTCGATCTAACGCAGCTGCTTAGATTCATCAAAGTTAAGTAAAGATTTGCAGACTTGCCAGTTGAATTCATCCAGAAAATTGGACGATTGCTCTTCGCCTTGCTCGGAATACGACTCAACAAGTTTTATCATATGACCTAAATCATATTACGAATAACGCAAAATATTCTCTCAACAATTTCAAATTGCTCGTAGTTTTGTTTAGAAGTTCAAATTAGTATGATAGCAATCTATGAAATAGTAGCAAGACTAAGACAGCAAGTTAGACAAAAAATATTAAAACCAATGATATTTCCACCGATAAATAAATAGAATTCTGTTACACACAGTATTATTCGTAGGATACAAATGTTTTCTGTCTGTAGAAACAATTCATACAGTGAAAATGTTTTGTCTATCATTAAAAAAGCTGAATAAAAGGTGGAGCAGGTAAATTCGAATCAGCTGTACTATAGACGGCAGCCTGTTTAAATAGACACGGTGTTTCTTTCCATAAGTAGCGAACACCATGCACTGATTTAGACAGGCATACTATTGGTACTGTAAGCTTGACGGTGATAGGTGATATTGCGGCGTAATTTGCTGGTGCAGCTATCCAAACTGTCTCATTTGACATACACATTTGTTTTTCTTGACAACATATCTAAATAAAAGGATACTGGAAACACAATACGAAAGAAAAAATTGAACATACCTCAAATCCTTCAGGATTGCGCAATTCAATAGAAGATGAGAAAGTGCTCAAATACGTAACATTGACTCGATCATCACTATCTCTTTCTATTTCGTTTACAATTGGTCCTTGATAATTGATGTTTTTTTGACCATAAGCAATGGCAAGACCAGATCGAGATAGACGATATCCGACATCAAGTTTCGTTCGTGGATGAATACTATCCAAGAAAGTTCAAGTATATATTGTGTATATCAACTTATTTTCTTACCCTCCGCCATCATCCCGTAAATCCATAGTTGTTGCCATAAATACATTAGGTATAGCACTGTTAGGAGCATATCCTATGTCAAAGGTTTGATGCCATCGAATCCAAGGAAATCCACCTATAATTTTGCCTGTTCTCTCTCTTGTTGATAACTATATAATGAAAGGTTTTTCAAGCAAAAAACAATAGATCGAAAACAATTATCTTACTTGAACAAAACCAAATGGAAATGTCGGATCAGTAATGAACTGCGTACGATTTTGCCATATGCGTCGCCAGTATTGAATCATTTTAAGAAATGTACATTGATATTTATCGCGGTTGTAATTAACGTTAGCTTCACCTACATAGAATTCCTTTAAAATTTCATACTGTTCAGTTTATTGATAAATACCTTGGTACCAAATTACTCCTTTAATAACCATACGTGTAAATGGATAAATCATTGCATTATATAAAACTGAATCATTCAATCTTGCATCAAGTTTAAAGTCTGTTTCATCACTATGTTCAAGTTCTATTTGCTTATCTCTACAATAGATTATTAATCTTAAAGTTGTATTTCGTAGACTTACATTACAACATCACAGTCTTTTAGTACTTGAGGTGGTGACCACATTTCAATTGCTGTACCACCCCAAGATGCATGAACAAGACCGATTGGTCGCTTATCGTCAAGTCCTAGATGAATCATACGACCATAGAGCCAACATACTGCTGATGCATAAACACTACCAACACTCTTCGGTGATGCAATCGACCAATTCAGTGCAACACTCAAAAGTTCTTCTTCAGGTTTTGTTGATTGCTGCCTTGATGCTGTAAATAATCTCACTTTTGGATATTTTCCAGCATTTTCAATCTCAATTGAGCCATTAAAAATTTTTTGTACAGACATTTCCATATTCGATTGACCGGCGCATAGCCAAACATCTCCGAAAAGAACATCATGGAGCCTAATTGATATTCGTGATCCGTTCGAGAATGTTTCTGTAGCAACAAGTTCAAATGGACCTTCTTCACCTTCGGCATCGAGTGTCACTGACCAGATACTTTCATCTGATGAATGAATTGACGATAAATAGTTCTTCGTATGATAAATCTTTTCGTTTATCTTCAAACTGATCGACACATTTAAACCATCACCATAACCCCATACGATCGCCTTTTGTGGAGCGCGTTGAAGAACCATATGACTTTGATAATAGTTCGCAAATCGAAAATTGCCATTGACTAAAAGAAAAAATAGACTCTTCTATGTTTATCTGGAAATATTTAATGAATTTGTTCACATTATAAAATCACTCAATGATTTTCACTCAAAAGACATTCCAATTAAACACTTGAGAAAACAAGAGAGAAAAAGTTACTTTACAGCATATCATTCATACTTTTGTTCGTGAACAAAGTTAATAGCAGAATAAAAATTTGAGAATAATTCATCATCATCTGCGTTATTAATACAAGATATGTAATTTGTGAAGAAGAGGCATATTTCTGTTATCTTGTAAAATGCTTGAGATAAGATAACTGAGAAGGAAAAGGTTGCTCAAGGCATATTACACCTTCTACATAAGACGCACACATATCTCTTATGCTTGTAAAACAAAAATATACTGAAGAGTTTGAATAGTCATCTTATTATTGTGCAATTTTTCAAGACTTCACAAATTTGTTGAGATGAGTAAACTGATTTTGCAAAGTTTTTTCGGAAATGTCTCTACTTGTCAGTAACAAAAAGATAACTCGCAACGTATCTACATGTTTCAGCAGAAATAGAATTGTCAATGTTAGTAGAAATTTTCTTTTTGGCAGACATGAAAAATGAAAGTTTTCAAAATTCCAAATTAACACTCGGTTGTTGAAAAAATATTAAGACATATATAGTTCAAAATACATTTAGAATATGATAGTTACAGTCCACCGGATCCAATCAGTAGATAATTTTCAGACTCCATAGGCTCTCATCATTATGAACTTTTAGATGAGTTGGAGAGATCCTTCTGTTCTTCTAGTTTCTTTTCGAAACGTGCTATTTAGACTAATCTATATTCAAAGTTGTTGAATCGTATGCTGATTACTTCAGACTTTAAGGAACAACTTACAATTACGAATGAGTGTTGCATGTAAGTGTAGCTGATCTTGATCGCACAAACTTGTTAAAGCAAAAATATCCATCGACATCATTTTATTGAATAGTCAATACGTTATATTTATGAAAACTATTTAGAACACAAAATCAAAGGGTTGACTTTTATGGCTGAAGCTTCTGTCTCTCGCATATTCATTCTTGTTCCTTTTTCTTCATGTAAAATAAAAAAAAAATGTATTCTAAATTAACGGATTTGGTTTTTACTTATGTATTCTACAGCAACAAGGCATCTAGAACATAGTAGGACAAAGTGACATGTGGTTATTCATTTTGTCATCCATCATTTCATTGGAAAAATGTTAGTCTTGGTTGATTATTGAATTGTCTTCAAATCAGGTTAATAATTTTATTATCGAATATATGGCATATCTAAGTGGACAAACCACCGGCAACACCACTGAAGCCTACATGGAAGTAAAATATTACGTCAAAAGTGAGGTAACATTTGGAGATGTTCTCTCTTTATACAAGTCTAAAGCGTCTTTTATCTTTGCCGATGTGTGGCATCTTTTTCTGAACAAAGAGATAGAAATAATAAACTATTGGAGTGATGTGAAGCATGAAATAAACATGTCAGTGAGGACCCTTTTGTGAAAGCTAAAATGGCCTATGACAAGGAAGTCCAGTCTTTTGTTGTAAACGATGACGTATGACCATGCTTTTCTAATTATTTGAGTTCCTCTCGAACTTTAATCTTTTCATGTCAAGAATTGTTACTTAGCGAGTAACCTTCCTTACTCGAATATCATTTGCACTAGTGACAATATGTGTAGGTATACGGGCATTACCTAAGTGATAGAAAACTGATTCATTTAAGTATCGTCGTTGTATTTCCCACGGAAATCCACCAATTAAATCATTGCTATACATATGTGTATTCGTTGTTCCCCAAGAAAAAAACTTGCTCGACTGCTCCGGTACCAGATACAGAAGCATTGAAACACGTGTAGTTTGAGTAATCAGCCAGTTCATTAAAAATCGCCGTAACTGAAACCACTAAGAGTAAGTCGATTTGGATCGGCCGTTCCATGTACTTCGCACTGACAGTATACACTTGAAAGAACACATGTTTACCATCCGGTGAGCGTTGAAGATTTTGTTCACGTGCTTCGTTACTTGCCAATCTTAACAATGATGAAATATTTCGTAATTTAATCGAATAAATTTCGATAACGATTGATCTGGACTTAAAGATAAGTTTTCGTTCGAATGGAATAAATAAGAGTTCATCAATCGAAAAATTTACAGTTTTGATACAGTTAATTTTTAAAGATACCTGTCGATCATTTTCACATGTCTCCATACGACAGGTAATACTACTGTCACGAGATTTTAGTCGAAGATGCTGAATGATAGTTTTCCATTCAGCTTTATAGAAATCGTCTTTTTTGTTGATTGATTGTGATGATATCGTCGTAAAATAATGACGAATCATCTTTTGAGCATGTGACAAGCTGACGGAAGTTCACTACCAAATGACAATTCATTTGAGATAACATCGTATAGATAAAGTTGCTGTTCTCTTATAAGATGACGATCTTATGTTGTGCTTTTTGCTAAATTTTTGTCGATTAAAAATACAATCGAATTTCTGCTTGGTGATCATTGCGGTTTGATAATTTCAGAAAGTTGTTGAGTAATCAGCGTTTTTCCTCATCCTTGAGTTTCATAAATCCATAAGCTATTCTCATAGGAATCAGAATCCCATAAAGGACGTTGACAATGAACAAACAAATGTTGACTATTTTGAGAAACAGATCACGACGGAAAATATGCTGAATCGAAAAATTCATCAAATGTTAGCTGTGGCACAGTTTGAGTCGACGAACACCAAAGCAGTTGGAAAACAAATACTAAGTGCAATTGCATTTCGATAGTTGATTCACCTGGCTCTAATCGAAATAAAATCGATAAAAATCGTTCTCCTTACGCATGTATTTAAGAAGTGAATGAAAAAGTTTTCGCATAAGCATTCTGAAACAAAAAATTCTAAGTAGTAAAACACAATTGAAAACCAAGTGAGCGTTTGATGAAAAATCGGAAGTTTACTGTATATGATTTGAATAGTGCTACATGTACTTGAAACAGTGGACTATTCAATGGCGCAAAAAGTTTTGTTACTAAGTTTAAACAGAATGGGAAATCAGGTGATTAAAGATTATTCTAAAAATAAGAATAAACCACAACATAATTTTCAATAGAACATGCACTAAAATGACAATCGAAAACAATATATATATATATATATTATTGTTAATGTACTTAATGTTGGTGATGAACTCCTCTATTCAGTCTTCCATCAATCCCTCGATGAAACTAATTCTGTTGTTAAACCGCTCCATGTACCTTTTAATAAATCCTATTGATCATTTAGCATAGCCATGAAAGCTTCCAAATATCCTTTCTAAGTGAGATGTTCGGATATAATGTTTTCATCAACTCTTTCAGAAAAGATTTAAAATATTTTTTGAAGAGGTTTATGATATTCATGAATTCTTATGACGGATCTATGAAAGTGCAACGTATAGCAAACCCTTTAAGAATTAGTATTTGGAGTTTATAAGCCCCTTAATAATCCTGTTTTTAAGAGTTTCTGAAAGGGTATATGAGCTTTTCATCAACGGCAGAGAAGGGTCCTGTATAAGTTGCATTTTCATAAATGCTTTAAACGCTAATTATTCTTCGTTTTTTGTACAGTGTAGCCTCCACTGAATCATATTTTCTTCCCACCATAAAAATTCCAGATCTATCACTGCTGATGGTCTCGCTCTAAAATTCTCCAGTAAAAATTTTGCTTCGAAATTTCTCAATTTTCTGTCAGTCTCTTTTGCTTTAGCGATCGAATCTGATACTGTTTCTATGAGAAACAAATGCAATGTCGATCGTATGACAAGAATAAGGCAGACAACTTTTTCTTCTTTCTTGTTTGAAATTATCAAATAGTTTATTGTTTTCGTTTCTCTTATAATATAAACATTAATATTCATCGTCATCAAGAACAAGTTTTCTTCTTCTTGAAACACGATTCAAGTCAATATCGTGAAAAACAATACTGTTTCTCATGCTTTTAGACTGCATTTTTACTCGGGATTCTATTCATTATCAAGCACGGATATCAGCATGCACCGCAACAACATGGAAGTTTGATCTAGTGTGATAAGAAACCCGCATTGCTGCACTCATAAGTGAGAAGGTGAAAGAAAATCCTCTTTGTTTGTGTCACACTAACTTGCCATCGTTTGAGATTAAAGTGTATTCCAGTTGCATGTGCTATGCAATCTTGAACAAATCAAATAGTCATAGGAATTGAGCGAGTGGAAATGGTTTCGATCTTTAACCTGGACAGAAACGGTGAGACGGGAGTCGATAATACTCAAAGCTCTTGTTTGATTATTCATCCGGATTTATCTTGGAAATGCAACTCCAGTTTACATACAGCAAAAACAAGAAAAACAATTTTTGCAAAATAGTTTCTATGATTTTGGGTGACACTTTTCGTGAATATGTCACTCTATGTTGTTGTTCGGGAAGTGTCACTGTGAAAAATAGTAACAAACATCTACGAGTTGACAATGACGAAAAGTAAGAATGAACAATCGTCTACTATCATGTAGATCAACAATATAATATTTGTAACGACAAATGGAATGTGACTGCCCATACCATGCGATACGGTTTCGTATTGTGTCACCTGCATATCTTCAAATTACATCCACATTGATACTCCATACCCTTCTTTATTTCTCTGGTCACCTTCACTAGTGATTCTAATATATATTATCCGGATGCCAAATACTCGAGTTCGTGGAGAAGCAAAGTTTTTATTCTCTGAATACAAAATTTGCAATACTATTTCGACAAGAACAATCTCAGGATTTCTTCTATTTAACTTACTACAAAAAAGAAACGAATGATTTGAAACAAACTACAATTCTTTCGACGAACAGTGGATAAATCTTTTAAGTGAACAGAGTTAATACTTTCTCCTTGTCAGAAATCAATTGAATTGTACTCTATCATATAGACTCTAAATAACATCA